GAAGTGTGCAAAGACCACAGGGTCTGTGTCCTAAACAACTTACATTTTTAGATGACTCAGGGAAGAAACAGGGATACAGATGGGGCAGTACAGAAGGAAAAATATTGAAACTAAGTGAGGCTAACTACTATGGTACTAGAGACTATTCAAATGCACCTCAGAATCACTCCCTCAACCTAGAAGCCTTCCAAGCCAGGCAGATTTCATTTGCTTGGAGTTGGACAAACTGCAGTAGGAAGGAGGGAAGTCCATGACCTTGCAGCACCAGTCAAGTTGCGCTATCTGCTCCTGACCTCATTCAGGAGAAACCAGCTCAGCTATGGGACATCTGAGGGAAGGGATCATCTCCCAGTTTGCACGGGTACCCTGGCAGCTCCAGGAGAACTCAGACTCTGATGTTCCTGTTCTCCCCTTAGCCATGGGCAGATAGGAAACACATCTCACCCCAAGTGCTTACACCTCCTCTAGTCTTCCTCAGTCCTGCTGGTCCTCCAGGAATAAAGGACAAGACAGGCAAAGGTTTATTAGCATTAATTACTGTTAATCAGCACCAAGCTCGGCTTTTGGGTCAAAATTCATCCAGCACCAGACTGAACACTTGAAGGTACTTCAGTCACGAGTGCGATTGCTCTATGTTCCCTCCACATGACAACATGAAGGCATCTCCAGAAGGTGACTTATACTTCAAGGTAGGTGAAATAATCATCTGAAGGCAACCTCCTCCCCAGCGGCAGCCCAGACACCACCTCTTCCTCAACCCCGGCCCCAGCCTGTCTTCAGCTTCATCAGTGAGAAACCTCCACAGATTATCATGAGCTCAGAGGAGCAAAATCAACACTCAGCGCTGCGCCAGCTTCTCTTTTCTTCTTACAGCTGTTAAGACCATGAGCCAACCTATGAATGTGCTACGCCATGCAAGGAACGCACAAGCCCCATTACTCCGCGTACGACGGCGCGAGGTGCGCTGGAACCAGAGCTCCGTGCTCCGCTCCCTGCGGCTGGCAACGCGGCGGAGCACACAGAGCGCCCTTCCTGCGCCCTCAGCACCAGCCGGGGGCAACACGGAGGGCCCATGCCGAGGGCGCTGTTAATTCCTTCTCCCAGTATTACACAATCGAGTCATTAGAAAAGAAAAATTACGTCAGTCAACCGTGGCTCTGCTGGAAAACGTCCCCCAGGGCCGCAACACGTCCCCTGGCTTCATTCAAATCTGTGCCATGCAAGTGCATTTGCAAGGTTTATAACTTCCCCCTCAAAATTTCCTCCCTTACTTCTCAAAGCAATTTAAGCATTTCATTGTTGAACTTTTCAAATGTATAAATAAAGAATTGCTCAGAGCCTTAACAGACCCTACGTGAGCACAAGCTTATTAAACTGAACAGAAACTCTGATTTTTATCATTGGATGCCTGATGTCTTACGGGTATAAGGACAAGCTTAGATAAAACTTTCAGCCTCATGCACCAAACACATTTCTGGCTTAGAGTCCAACCCTCGAATTCTTCAGTGCACTTAAGTGTTTTTGCAGGATGATGTCCCTATGGTTCCAGCCTTTGTTTTGGGGGAGATACATCTGCAAGTCAACAAGCAAATTGCAACACAATAATTGCCTCCCCCTTTGACTGACACTGTTGTTTAGACATGAAAAAGATTTGCAGCTTTGAAACTTCTAGACATGGAGAAGGTCCCTCTTGTTTAGTAAGAGGAGACCATGTGGGGGAAAACCCTCAGAAACAAAAAAGCAAAACATCATATTTTTCTTTGAAACAATAACTTAACAAAATCTATCAACCAACAAAACAGGATTCACACTGGTGTTCCCAGATCTTTGGCTGACATCTGAAGATTACATGCCCAGATGTTTCTCATTTTTCCCCTTCAAAACAAAAGTAACTCTTTATCATCATCAACCGGGTAATTTCTGACTGGTTCAGAATGAGTCTGAATCACCTGAAGAACAAAGTTCTCCTCTAACTCAGAATAAAAAGAAACAAAACCCTCTCAGTGTGCTTCAGCCCTAATCCAAAGGGTCTGCATTTTGGAAAACACTCAGTCAATACAGTCACCTTCCATTGCCTGATCAAATAGTTAATTTCTACTGCAGCAGGCCAAAATTTGCAATTTGGGGGTTATTCATGGAGAAATGATTAAGACAGACCCTAACTCATCCGGCATTAGGCTAA